TCTGCCAGCGTGACCATCGCATCGCCTGCATCGTTCTCGTCAGCGAGGAGCACGACGACGTCCCAGAGTTCAAGCGGTATGTATAATCCTCCTGCTACGTTACTAGCTAACATTATGTGAACAGCTCGACGCTGACTGACCCGACGCTGGTGCGGCTGCTGCACGCCAACGATATCCTCGTGTGGGGCGGCGACGTGCGCGACCGAGAAGCATACAGCGCGTCTCTCAAGCTCCAGGCTACCACTTATCCGTTTGTCGCCTTCCTCGCCCTCCAGCCCCGCCGCACGCCCCGCTCTGCGTCCTCGAGCTCGTCAACTCCCCCGCCCACGCTTACGGTGCTCTCACGGCACCAAGGTTCCCCCAGTGGCCCCACCTCGGCCGCGACCCTCGCTGCACACCTCGAGACACAGCTCCTACCCCGCGTGACCCCGTTCCTTGCTAGTCTGCGCGCCGCACAACACACGGCCGCGGCAGACCGTGCCCTTCGCGCCGAGCAGGACCGCGCATTCCGGGAGACGGCTGCTCGCGACGGCGCGCGCATCGAAGCGCTCATGCAAGCAGACGCACGCGCCGCGCGTGAAGCCGAAGAAGCGCGGGCCGCCAGCGAGGCGGAGGCGGCGCGTGTTGCACGCGAGGCGGAGGACAAGGCGCTGCGCGCGGCTGAGCGGGACACGTGGCGCCAGTGGACGCGCCGCGCACTTGCGCACACGCCCGAGGACGCGGACGGGGTGCGGCTTGCGATTCGAATGCCCGACGGGGGGCGTGTAGTGCGCCGGTTTGCGGACAGCAGGTCGCTCACGGCGCTGTATGCGTTTGTGGACGCGCAATTGACTACGGCAGAGGACGGGGACATTTCACCCAAGGGACATGGCAAGGCGGACGTTGAGCGCGCGATGGAGGAGCAGATGGACGAGGCGGGGACGGCGGACGCGTGGTGGGGCTTCCAGCTTGTGCTGGCGTACCCGCGGCGCGAGATTCCATGGTCAGAAGGGACGACCGTTGGCGAGGTAGAGTGTCTCAAGGGCGGCGCGCAGCTTGTCGTGCACATGCTCACGCGCGAGACGGTTGAGGAGGACGACGACGGGTATGTTTCGGAGGATTAGACGCACACCGCAAAATTAGCACCAGTCAATAATTACTATACACTCTGTTTGGATGCACGGGGAAAAATACAGACAGACTACTGGCTCAGAATCGTCCTCACGAACGACTCGTAGTTTACGTTTCCGTCCCTGCGGCATGTTCAGTACAAGGAAAATGGGAAATGGACTGAGACACGCACGCGCCGATCTGGACGCCCTTGAGCAGCTCGTCGACCTCCTGGTCGGTCATCTTCTCACCGAGCTGGGTGAGCACGTATCGCAGCTCGCCCGCACCGATGAAGCCGTTGCCCTCCTTGTCAAACACCTGGAACCCGCGGATGAATTCCTCTGTCCCGGCGTCAGCGATCTGTTAGCTGGGTTGAAGGTATGGCACACCTGGCGTGCCGGCGGGCTTGAAGCCGTCTGGGCGGTTGAGGATGGCGAGAAAGGTCTTGTAATCGACTGCATCACTTGAATTTTGGAACGACGGCGAATAGGAGAGGGACGCACCATCGCGCGGGGCGGCGGCGACAATCTCTGCGACCTCGCTCTGTGTGGGGTTCTGGCCCAGGGCGCGCAGCAGGTCGCCGAGCTGTTCTCGGGGGACGGCGCCAGTGCCGCGCTTGTCGAACAGGGCAAATGCCTCTTTGTACTCTGCGGCAGTCAGACCCGTGCAGCTGGGGGGAAAGGGCGCTCAATACCTGCGTTGTCGCTCTAGGGTGGGTTAGCAGGCTGTCAGTACAAGAGGTGGTTTGGACTGACCATGGTGGATGGAGGAGTGCTGTTGTGCGTTGTTTGACTTGGGCTTCCGCTGAACCACCACCATGGCCTTTGCAACTGCATACCTCCCTCCCCCAAAGCCCGACCACTCGTTCACCCGGCGGCCCTCCTCGGCGCTCGGTGTCTTTTTGTGGCGTCGCAGGATGTGGTTTGAGTCGACGTTCGTCCTGTCCATGCTCGAACCATGGGAGAAGATCCTCCTCAGTGCGTCTTGTCCGTGCTGTGTTTTCGTGTTCTTAATTGGCCACAGTCACCATCTTTGCGATTCTGTTCTTGCTCGTGTGCTCGGGCATCGTCACGTACTTTCCGCAGCACCTTGTGGTCATGCAGCGCCGCGCCGTGTACTATCTCTGGGGGCAGGACGGTGACGAGCGGGCGCTTTGGCAGTGGCTTGGGTTTGGTGCAGGGCTGCATAAGGAGCTGTAGAATCGGAATTAATAATGCACCAGTGTCTCTCTCGATTTCCTTTTCTTATTTCACGGCCCGCAAAATGACTGGCTCTAGTTATCGAGAATGATGTGGTAGCCCGGCCTGTATCGAACGGTTATAGCATAAGACTTGCCTCCTTCCTATTTCGATCTCTCGAAGTTTTTCGTGTTTGTTCTCGTTGACACCCAACCTAGATGAATGCTTGCAAGACGGACTGTGTCCTGCATTCAACGCGTCTGCATTCGACGCGTGTCCAGCCAGCCCGCGTCTCTGCCACCCGAGTTCGAGGCGCTGCTGGTGGATGAGGATCCTCCCGTCTTTTCTCTCGACGACGTCGTGGGCCATGTCGCGCCGCCTGTTCCCATTCAGTGGAAAAGCCCATCGCCGCGCAAAGGCCCCCAGGAGGTGGTCCGCGAGTTACGCGCTGCTCTCACTGTCAGCGGTGTCGTCGGCGCACTCGCCCTTTTGCGCGAAAATGCACACACCCCGTACCCGCGTCTCGTCGCTCATGCCGTCGTCCATTCCCTCCTTCGTGCAGGGGAACATCTCCGTGCCGGCGCCTTCCTCAACGCATTCGCCACCGAGCGCACGGCAGTCAAGCTGCCCCGCGTCCACCCTACCACTCTCTCAAAAACGATCGGGGCTCTCATCGCGCTAGTTCCAAAGACACAGGGCCGCCAGGACCGCGTCCGCACCGCACAGCGTCCGGCGCTGCTCAGAATCCAGGCTTCTATGGTCTCGGAGCCTGCCCTGCGCACTGCACTCTCCCTCTACCTGCAGGCGCGGAATCTTTTTGTCCCTCGCAAAAGAAAGGACGCTGCAATGATTCTGGACGCTCTCTTTCGCCAGCGCGAATGGATTCCGGCGGCTCTCATGTTTGAGCTCCAAGTCAAGGACCATCAGCTCCGCAGGAGCATTCCCTTTCTCTTGCGCGCTGAGGACCCTGCCGCCCCACCGCTCAACCCTCACGACCGCCACCACCTCCGTCGGCGCCTCGCCGTCCTTCAGATAGAAAAGTCACGCGTGAGCCCCGCATTCTTCGCCGACCTCTGCTTTCGCATCGCCGGCGTCCTCTCCAGCCTCACCAACCGTCCCGCAAGCCCCTACTACGCTGCCACCGAAGAAATCCCTGCTCTTGCTCCTGGGCCCAGAACGCCGCTGACACCCCAGCGCGCTCAGCACCATGCCCGCCTCGCCCTCCAGGCCCTCGCCATTCTCGGCACCCTAATCAAGACGCGCCAGATTCCGTTTGGCAACGTCAATTCGTGGATAGTTACTGTTGGGAGTGTGAGTTTGATTCGCTTTCCGTGCATTTCGTCGACTAAACCAACGCAAGCTCGCACCAGGCCTAGATTCAGTATATGTTTACGCGACGGTGGACGGCTTTACCAGACGCGTGGCTGCCCGCGCCCATCTCCGCGACATCCTCGAGGGATACGCCAACGCTCTGCCGCGCGTACCACATATTTACAGCCAGTTTCCCTTTCCGACCAGTGGCTTCTTACGGAGGGGTCTCAAGCATAAGATTCTTCTGCAGTCTGCCAGCGCGGACGAGGAAGCCAACCTGGACCCCAGCGCGTCGGGCGGCAAACAGGCAATATCCGGAGCCCCTGCCGGTGACCTACCCGATGAACTCGAGGGTCTGAACCTGGAGGGGATAGACGAGTGGGAACGAAAAAAGCGAATAAGCACCGTCCTGCGTCACAGACGGAGAGTCGAGCTGGCAGCAGAGGCTGGGTCTGACGCTCCCCCGCATTTTCATATCCATGCCCCGCCCGAGGACCCTGTCGAAGCGGCCGACGACAGCCTTATGCCCCCGCCCGAGATGTCCACCTACGAAGCTCTCTTGGGCGTGTTTCTCAGCGGCGGTGTCACCGACAGCGGCCCTGGCAGGCTGTACGCATCCCGCCCGATGACGACAGCTTCTCCAGAGCAAGTGACGCGGTGGAACGAGGGCGCCGCCAAGACGGAAGCAGCGCTCGATGACGCCGAAGAGACGTCCCCATTATCCCGTGGCGACGAGCTCGAAGCGAGCCTGCAGCAGCATTACCACGCGCCGCGCTCCCCAAACAACCCGGACCCCCACGTCCAATACCCCGCGCACCCGCTTGACTTTGACGCATATCCTGCGCCACCCGCCCAGCGGCCCCCGCGCCAACTCACACGGTCGTACCTCGGTAGCACCGTGCTGGAGCAGCATCGGCTGAAGCTGGCAACGCACGTCCTCGAACACATGCTGCACCAGCGCAGCCCACCGCTTCCCCCGCACCAATCGTCCGTCGTGATGCGCCTTCTGGCCCGCCGCACCGACGTGCTGCGACCCGTGCTCGACGTGTGGGACGAGATATGGGAGGGCGCGGCGCGCGCGCGGAGGGAGGGAGAGATGAACATGAAAGAGGCGCAGCGGCTCGAAGCGGCTCAGCTCGTTGCTGAGGAAGTCGCACGGAACGAGGATTGGGCCGTGGAAAAGACTGGGCTTTTGCCCCAACGCGATGCTGGGGAGGATGACGAGTTTGATGCGGCCAGCCGACGTCTCACTGCGCGCGAGTGGGACAAGGAATCTGATACTCATTATAATAATACGGAGGAGTAAGTATGACGTGAATCATAAGAGGCACCAAACCAAAGTTGGAGTCAGTGTGATAAATCACGCATCACAAACGCGAGCGAAAGACTTAGTCTTAGACCTTTACAGACATACGCAAAAATGGGCTCAACCGGGAATTGAACCCGGGACCACTCCCACTGCGCTCCGAAAGAAGCGGGCAGAAACCCGAAGGGAGTATCCTACGACTAGACCATTGGGCCGATGAGTAGTTCGCGTGCATGGAAGGTACCTTAACAAATTGTGATTAGTCTCGGGGGCCGAGTCAGCCTGCCGCAGCTTGCGTGGCTCAGGCAAGGCTCAGGGCAGGCTTAGTCAGCATAGGTCAGCATCGGCATCGCAGCACACAAACAAAAATCCCTTTCAGCCTCTTACCACCACCACGCCCACTAACAGCCTTATACAGCCTTATCCATAGCATAGTCCCCGCCAGCATGCTCGTCGACAGCCAGATGGCCTCGTCGCTGTTCGCCACGCCGTACAGCGACTACGCCGCGTCCCAGGACCTCAACGACATCTTCCACACCGAGCTCTTCTCCCTCCCCTCGTCCGGAGCGTCCTCCTCGTCGCATTCGCAGTCCTCTGGGTCCCGCGAGAGCACCCCAAATCTGCAGACACCCCCACAAGCCGTCCCCGCGGCGTCGTTCCCAGAAATCGGCGACGGGGGCAGCCCCACCCCGAGCTTCTTCAACTTTCTCGACGAGGACGTCAAGGCGCTCGACCCGCTCGCGATGCTCTCCAGCGCGCCGTACGACTTTTTCGGCACCTCGTTCCCTGGTGGGGGCGGCGGGGGCGGGTCGATGGACTCAAGCAGCAGCGCGGAGATGAGTGCGATGCTCGGTATCGACCCCTCCCTCGTCGGTTCGCCTGCCGCTGCGTCCTACTCGGATTTTTCCGACGCCCACTCGACGTCGCCGTCGGACGCCACCTCCTCGCCCATGGACAGCACCACCATCGCCCCCGTCAAGGTCGGTGGCCACGTTAGTTACAAAAATTAGCTTATCTAAAATTCTTCAAGGTCGGAGGCCACGGCAAGGCGCGCAAAGGCACCGTCGTCGGCGGCGGCATCAAAAAGTCGTCGTCGGCGGCTGCCGTGAAAGAGAACACCTCGACGGCGTCGACGGCGTTCATGCCCAGCACCACGTTCAAGCCACGCCCGAACAAGGGCGAGGACGAGGACGACGAGGACGACCTCCCCGCCGACTGGCGTCCCCCGCCCGAGGTCTTTCAGAAGATGAGCAGCAAGGAGAAGCGCCAGCTGCGCAACAAGATCAGCGCCCGCAATTTCCGTGTCCGGCGAAAGGGTGAGTTTCTTCCCTTCCCTTCCATCCGGGGAGTCAGTTGGCGATTCTCTCTCACCTTGGGGGGTCAATTCTGTTTTCGATTCTGTGTCGGTCCTCTCGCTCAGACTTGATCCAAAATCAACCGACAAGTCGCTGTTCCTCCTCCCGGGGATCCAGAATTCATCGAAGACCAAGCGCTGACCGATTCACAGAGTACATCTCGACGCTGGAAGACAACATCGCCGAGCGCGACCGCCTGCTGTCCGCCATACGCGCAGAGCTGGGGAGCACGCAGAGCGAGAACCTCGCGCTGCGCCAGGAGATCGCCGCGCTCAAGCGCACCTTGCTCGACAACCGCGGACCCGCACCCGTCCTCCCCCCGCCCGCGCCCCTCTCCTCCCCGTCCCTCTCCTCGCCCTCGCCCTCGCTCTCCAGCAGCAGCAAGGAGCTGAGCACGCCGACGCTCAAGGACGTCACGTCCGCCTCGGCGTCGACGCGCTTCTGGCAGCAGGGCGCCCTGGGCGGCGGGTACACCAGCGTGCACACCGCGCGGATACCCGAGTTGTTGGGTGCGAGTCCGTGGGCGGCGAGTCCGTTTGCGAGTGCCGAGGTGCGTTTCTTTGTTCATCCTTTATCTATAACGATGCTGATTGTGCTATAGACCCCCGCGACGCCGCACCAGCAGGAGAACCTCAATCCCCTGCTCAATGGCACGAAGGTCACGGAGGTTGTGCGCGCGGGGCTGGGGATGGGCGCGGCGACGGGGGCGAACAACGCCGCGGATGGGTTCGGGGACGCGAATCCATTCACGGTGCGCAGTTTGGATGCGTAAGTCTTCTTTCATTTCCCCTACAACAACGTGCTAACGCACACCCACAGATACCGCATGCACCTCTGGGGCCGCATGGCCGCGCAGTACCGCCACAACAAAGACCACCCCGCCTCCTCCTCCACCTCCAACTCCACTTCCAACGCCAACGCCGCCTCGCCCTTCAGCAGCGGCAGCGCCTCGCCCTTCAGCAACGGCGCCGCCAACGGCTTCAACAGCGCCGGCAACAACAGCGCGAGCGCGTTTGCGCCGTCGCCGTTCTTCAACCCGAGCGCGAAGGCGCATTCACCGCCGCATTCGCCGCCGTTCCCGCTGTCGGGGCTGGCGGGCGGGCTGCGGCCGAAGTATTTCTCGAGCCCGGCGAGTGGGAGTGGCAGTGGGAACGCAGGAGCGAATGGGCTGGCGGCGTCGTTGGCCGGCTTGTCGTTGTCGTCGAAGGGTGGGGTGTTGCAGCAGCAGCAGCAGCGCCAACGCGAGTCCGCGAGAGAGAAGGAGCGGGAGCGCGAGAGCGCGAAAGAGAGGGAGCGGGAGAGCGCGATGTACGCGGCGATGGCGAGCCAGACGCTGCTCAAGCGCCTTGGGGGCGCGTTTTGGGACGCGTTCTCCGGTGCGGGGGAGAAGAACGCAGCGCTCGGTGCGAGTGGGGCGGCGGCGAAGGGGTGGGACGCGGAGAAGGTGCGGAAGGTGTTGGAGGGGAAGGCGGTCGTAAGGGTCGTGGATGTCGACCAGCTGCCGCCTTCGCCGAAGATGTCACCCATCGCGAGCCCGAGGATGTCGCCGGTGGTGGAGAAGAAGCATTGCCATGGGCAGTTGGCGGAGGTGTTGGAGGAGAGCATGCGGAGCTTGAGTTTGGGGAAGAAGTAGGGCGGTTGTCGACGGCTCCCTTTCCCTTTTCTTTACTCTCGCTCTGGCTCAGGCTCTCTTTCCTCTCTGTGTACATCTCCCTCGCCTCATTCCACCAGTCCGGCGGCTCGACGCACGACCCTTCGGATCCTCCCTTCCGCCTCGCCCTCCTCTGTCTCTCCATGTCGCCCAAATGTCGCCTCTCTCCTCGTCTCTCCCCCGGTTTGGCGCTCGACATCCCGGTTTTGATTGTCGACCTCCTCGATACGTTACGAATAGAATCTGGATACATACGATATCTCGCTCTGGACTAGCTTGAGCCTCACCCTCCTTCCCTCTCTGTTTCTTTCTTCCCCTCTCCCTCTCGTCCCTCCAACTCCTTTCGACTCGACCCGACACTCATCGCCTCTCGGACTCGACTTACCGCCCCGAATCGCTGCGCCGCGCCACCGCCCACAAATCGCGAATGCGCCTCTCGTCAGCGGCTTTACGTACGCGGGCGGAGATTTCGCCGAGCGGCGGCTTATCCGTCCCCTCGGTTTCCGCTTTCTTCCGACTTGGACTTGCAGGTTTTCGCGAGGTCGTTGCGGACAACGAGGCGCTCGCGTTTGTATTACGGTTACGCTTACGGACCACCCCACTCCATCTCCACCCCAGAATGCGGACTCCAGCCTGAGGCCTGAGAATCGACTCCAGAATGCTGAATCAAAGTGTATATCAGAAAGTAGAGCTATTAAGTATAGTTTTGGATAATTAGTTTTTTTCTTCGCTTTTGGTGCGCTGTCCTCTTGTGATTCAGAGCTTCATTGACTGCGAGTTCGAGTGACTTTGTACTCGAGGTGACTTGTTAAGTAAGAAAGGGTGCTTGTACGTGGGCCGCCACGATGTAGTACCTGGGCGGTGGCGGTCAGATAAGGCAAGCGCGCAGGACGATAAGATTGGCGTAGGTGAGAAGATAAAGGGCACGCTTGAACGGTGCAGGTTTAAGCTAGCAAGCACGTCGAAACCCACGCGTCTTGCATGTTTCGAAGTTCTTTAAGGTCGGCTTCCCGTAGTAATCCGGTAGTATTGTGAACTTTCGATTGTCCAACTTGTCTTGAAGGCCATTAAATGGGCATGACGAGTCCTTTTTTGTAGCAATAATAATAAAGCTCCATTTTTATAGTAACTAGACGCCGTTTACGGCGTATGATGCTACTACTTATCCTGGACTACCGGGAGGTACGTAGAATAGATAACTAGTTGACGGGCGATGCGAGTTTATAAGTAAGATTACGGGTATATAATAATAATAATTCAGTGTCCGCCCAAAGGGCTTTGAGTCGGGGTCTCAGCGGGCCAAAGGCCTTTGCCCTTTGTAAGGCCTTTGGGCGAAAGGGCAACGAAAGCCTTCAAGATCAAATTCCCACGGTTTCGACACACCTATCTCTTACTCGCGAGTCAATTTCTATCGCCCCGTCATCCGGCACATCGTCCTCCGCTGCATCTGCAAAGGCCTGCATCAGCTGTTCTTCCTCCTCCATTGCCTGGGCTGTTGGCTTACGAGTGCGAGGCTTGTGCGCACCGGCGAAGAGCACTTGGAGCGGTAACACTTTCCATTTCGGGAGCCGGTCTTCGTGTTTTTATGGTAAAGGGATTCATGAGGGCGGCGGATGTAGGGGAGCGAGGAAAAAAGTGAAAATTATATAGTGATACACGTGACAGATAAAGCCTTTCGAAAGGGCTTTGTATAAGAGTGGTGGTTTGGAACTTAACAAATCACCCCGAGTGAACCAGACCAAGTACTATATTGATAGTGACCAGGAGTTCAGAGGTAGGGTGCAAGTTAGTTAGCCCCGTCTGAACCCCTGATCCTAATAGTACAGGCAAAACATAATATGTACAAAATATAATATAGTAAGGGAAGAGTCTTTGTCTTTCTGCCCCGACTTGCTGACTCAGCATTCCCTTTTAAGAACGCATATTGCACGTGCTCTCCGGACCTCCTCCCGCCACCGGAAGTTCATATATTTTATGTTTTATTTATTTTGTCGTCGTTCTGTCACGCCGCCCAATCGGTGCAACAATGTATCTCTGCGTGGCTCCTGTTTCAAGCCTCTCAAGCCTCTCCCCGCCTTTTGTCCCGAACCAGAACACTCCCTGACACCAGTCTCTGCCACCCGCCTCTCCCGACGCGTTCTCGACGCGTTGTTCACGCGTCAAACGGCCAAGGCGCATCACCAGCTTCCCCTCGACCACCCTCTATGAC